TTTTACTAGGAAATGAGCAGGTGCTTACTAAGAAATGAGCAGGTGTTTACTATGGAAGAAGTTATGTTTATTTTGAAATGTGTTAAGTTTTTTGAAGAAATTTACAAATTTTTATTAAGAAGTTTTGCTTGAAGTACTTTCAAATAGTTAAGAAACACCAAAATTAGATATAAATAATTTTGAAGTTGTTTCAACATGTCTTGCCATAGTTTTACTTTTAAGACATTTGGAAAACTTGAATTTTTGGAAAAATTGAGCCCCGGATTTACTATTAAATTAACACATGATTCTCCCTACCCTTAATTCCACCCTCTGACATCCTAAACAGTTCCATTGTCCAACATTCCAATCATTAATTTTTCCATCCAGCCAAAAAGCTTCATATACAGGTTCAAACCCACCTCTACCAATATCTTTTGTATACTTCAATCTGTGATATGGCAGTAAGTTGCATTTTTTTAATAAAATTATCAATATCAATTAAGGTTTCTGGTTGAAACTGCTTCTATTAGTAACTGAAATTGTCCAAATCTTTTGGGCAAAATTATTTTTTTATAAGCCCAAACTACTTTTTGTTATTAGCCAAAATTGGATGAAATTATTTTAAAGTTGTTTAAGTTAAAACAAGTTGATTCATATAGTTTTTTAATGTTCATGCTTATAAAAAATGTTGAGGCCCTAACTAGTTTGGGCTTTGAGAAAACAGTTTGGACCAGAAACCTTAGTTGCCACATGATCTTTTATTTTTAATGATTTGTTTGAATCTTCAAGTGCTTCTTCATATTTCTTCATCTTACAATAAATGTCTCCACATATTCTCAATGTTAATACATCATCTGGTTTAATCTCTAGCGATCTGTTTAAATCCACAAGTTCTTCATCATGTCTGTTCATCAGATGATAAATTTCTCCACATATTCTCAGAGCCCATGCATCACTTGAATCTATTTCTAATAATTGGTTCAAGTCTGCAAGTGATTCTTCATCTTATAGTAAACTTCCCCTCAACTAGTCAATGTAAATGCATCATTTGGTTTTATTTCTAATGATTTGTTTAAGTCTGCAAGTGCTTCTTGATATTTATTTAACTTGTGGTAGACTTCTCTTCAATGACTCAATGTCCATGCATCATCTGGGTTTATTTATAATGATCTGCTTGGCAATAACCACCATTCTTTTTAAATAACTAGAGTAATGAAGAGTGGCAGGCAATAACCACCACCACCCTTATTCTTAAAACACTTACTCACATGTATCTTTAGTCTCTTTTTCTTGTCTTCTTTTTTTGTTTTCTTTGGGAATGTTTAAAGAAAAAGAAGTTTGTTATTTGATTGACATGTACACATTAATTATTTATCCTATTGGTTTTTTTTTGGTAGGACAGATGTGAATTGATTGATTTTTTTTTTTGGAAAAA